AAAACAGTAAAACTGGTGTATAACTCACGTTACTCCTTTCATCAAAACAGTAAAACTGGTGTATAACTCACGTTACTCCTTTCACCAAAACAGTAAACTGGTGTATAACTCATGTTACTCCTTTCATCAAAACAGTAAAACTGGTGTATAACTCACGTTACTCCTTTCACCAAAACAGTAAACTGGTGTATAACTCATGTTACTCCTTTCATCAAAACTGTAAAACTGATGTGTACCTCACGTTACTCCTTTAATCAAAACAGTAAACTGGTGTATAACTCACGTTACTCCTTTCATCAAAACTGTAAAACTGATGTGTACCTCACGTTACTCCTTTAATCAAAACTGTAAAACTGGTGTATAACTCACGTTACTCATTTCATTAAAACAGTAAAACTGATGTGTACCTCACGTTACTCCTTTAATCAAAACAGTAAAAAATTTTGTTGTTCTTTTTTTTTCTCCAGTTCTAAAAGATATAAAAGGAAAAATCAATCTGTGATGGATGTGAAAGAGAAACATGATTCCGTAGAAGAAGGGGTTATTTTTTTTGCAACCGATTTCTAGAGACAACAAGGATCACCAACCGTCATTAATCATTCCACCAACTGGTCTTATGGAACACGAGAAGCCTTCGAAAAATTACTTGACATGCATTAAAACCAACCTTCTTACTATCCTAATGTTTCTAGCTGTGGTATTCGGAATAGCTCTTGGTTTTGGTCTTCGACAAACTGGGTCTTGGACCCCGAGACAAATCATGTATGTCAATTACCCAGGTGAGCTATTTCTCAGAATGCTACGTTGTTTGATTCTACCTCTGATAGTCTCTAGTCTGGTGTCAGCGATAGGCAGCCTAGACATTAGACTTTCCGGGAGAATCGGAGCTCGAGCAGTGGCGTACTACCTACTTACCACCATCCTAGCCATCATCCTAGGAATAATTCTAGTCGTAGTCATCCATCCCGGGGCAGGAAATCCTGACGAAATAGCTCGCAGCAAGAAGAAAGCAATAGTGTCAACTACGGAGGACACCCTAATGGACCTCATCAGGTGAGCTTCTTCATACTACTTGTAATTTATAAGGGATTTCTGAAAATAGCACGGAACGCCTACTGGCGTTGTTTGGGAATAGTCTAAGTATACTTTCTACACACGATCAGTTTATTTTTGTTGTTGTTCTTTAATTATAGAATACAGAAATAGAGAAACGACATTCTTGAAATATAAGGTATAATTATAAATCATAATTTGTATTCTGGGTTTGTAATGTCAAAACCCTGAATAACTATTGGGTTTGTAATGTCAAAACCCTGAATAACTATTGGATTTGTAATGTCAAAACCCTGAATAACTATTTGAGGTTATTAAAATGTTTGTATTTATAAATACTTGGATTTAACAATTACAAAGTGGTTTGTTTGTTTTCGGACATTCGGGCAAGTCCACACAAGGGTTATCTACAATAGCCGTCCCTAGTTTTGAAATGATAAACTAGAGAGAAGGCAGCTAGTCAACAGCAACCATATGCTTGACCGAAGCGTGTGGTTATAGACTAGAGAGAAGGCAGCTAGTCAACAGCAACCATATGCTTGACCGAAGCGTGTGGTTATAGACTAGAGAGAAGGCAGCTAGTCAACAGCACCCACTTACCTGAGTGTGATTGGACTCTCAGTTGTATTACGCACCCACGGTCCCAAAGTGCAGAACGAAGCTTTTTTTTCACACTAACGAGAAGGTAAGCATATTCGGCGATAGGTCTTGATCCAGCGACCCAGGCCTGATAACTCTTTTTATCACCAAAGCAACTAATGCATATTAAAAGACAATATTTTAAATTAAATTTCGTCAGTGTTTTTATGAGGTTTATGAATTTCTTTTATTTGGAGAAAAGTATATTTATTTAAAACTAAAATGTAGCGATGAAATATGTTCTTATAATAACAGGAAATTAGTGCTAAAAAGTTACCACTTACTGTATTTGTAAGGTAAAATATTTTTAATAAGTAGTAGTTTTTCTGAATATCAGGCTTAAATAACCTAAAACAATTTATATACCACATCATTGAGACCGAGCCTAGCCTAGTAATTAGCGTGCCGGACTATGGATCAATGATTCGCGTCCCGTTGACTCAGAATTGCTCTCTGCTTGGTCGAGTTGTTGGTGTATTATAGAGTGATTGTTACATTTCACTGTTCGATTACAGTAGCCCAAGAGTTGGCGGTGGGTGCTGATGACTAACTACTTTCCCCGTGACTTAATAGTTCTAGATTAGGAACATATTACATAGGTAGCCTTTGGGTAGCTCTACATGGTTTGCCTAAAACAAACTGGATTTTATAGGAAGATTTTGGGATATACATTGGCTTTTACCGTGTATTTCTGTTTTCATGGATATATAAAAAAATCATCATTAAATTTTACAAACGAATAAGAAAGAATCGAAATAGGCCTAGTTGATATATAGAAACTAATGTTTCGACCTAGTCGAATAAAAAACTAATGTATTGACCCAGTTGACAGATAGAGGTTAATGATATATATACTACAACTAAATTGAAGGTAACAAATGAAACAACGTATAATATACTTCAATAAGGAAACATAGTATGCTAATTAAAAATAGGTAGGCAACAACGATTTATAAGCACTAGGAAGAATTTTATTGATGGTGGAACATACTACATGTTTCAATAGATCGTTGGTCTGTCTTCTTCAGATATGATCAGTATCTATCTATCTTGGCAGTTGTTTTGATGAAGAAAATTTCACGTTCGGCGTTCTTAACAGTCGAACAGTGAAACAATTAATCATCAGAGGTGCTGGAATATTAAGCAATCTTCCTTCGCCCCGCACAAGGTACTGGTAAATTTTGCTTAGATGGGGTGATGATAATTTAGAGTCTAATTATAAGACTTTTGGTATAAATTTGTTACAATGTTATAGCTAAGTAGGTCACAAAATACTTTGGGATGAAATTCTTCTCCTACACCAACCCAAAACTAAAAAAGAAAGAGGCTGTTTAGAAATTATAGAAATCATCAAAGCAAACGATCTCTCGCTAAACCGTGATAATGGCCCTATCAACATCAGCCGTATTTGGCAAGGTCCATTCATCATTCATACACTTGACCAGACTTGACCTCTACCTATGTCCTGTCACCTGCTGAGAACATTTCCATCACATTTAATCCTTGTGTCTTTTGTTCTTGTAACGATATATATAAACCTTGTATCGCTTAGTATACTGATCATAGGACTCCCCTTGCCTTCACTTTTGCCTCTGTCTTGCCTTGTCCTAATTCTCTTTAAAGTAAACATTCGTTTCATATTGATGATATGTTAAAGCGGATAACTGAAAATCACCTCTACGCATGTGACTACATATCACAGAAAACATCCTCCCACTTCACATACCTTTACCTATATCCTTTCACCTGCTGACACCATGTGCGTCACATTTAATCCCTGTATCTTTTGTATTTGTATGACATATAATACTTGTATCGCTTAGTACTGATCATACCTGAAAAAACAAACCAATGTTCTGTCGAAACATGTAGTATGTACCACCATCAATACAATTCTTCCTTATATTTATAAGTCGTTGTTTGCCTACCTATTAACGTATAATATATTGTCGTTGTTTGCCTACCTATTAACGTATAATATATTGAGATACAGGGTTTCTCAGATTTCTACTTCATGTTACATGTCTAGAAATTAAAAAGTGTATATATGTACGTGTCTAGGTAAGACAGAGTACAAGGTTCTTCAGATTTCCACTTCATGTGTAGACATTTTTTAAAAGATTCGTACGTGTCTAAGTAACATAGAAGTGAGCTGTTAGAGTGAAATAAATGTAATTATGCAACCACACAGGCATCTTCATTACACTGTGACTGCTGTTTTTAAAATTTGTAGCTCACACTTCAAGGTTACAAAATAAATGTTATTGCATTTCTAATATTATTATGGGATGGAAAAACAAACAAAGGAAGAAGGTGACTTGAGTCTGTTATTTAGATGATCCAGTTTCAGATGTAAGTATATCATGAAGAAAAATGTATAGCTCGTTAATGTATCTGCATCAATGCATAATAAATAGAGTTAAAACATAACAATTTTGTTAAGTTACGTTTACAAATACACACTTCTATGTTGAATTTGGATGCTGTTTCTTCAAATTTCTTTCAATTATTTTTCTCCCTACTGTTTATCTGCTGAATAAGTTTTATCTCATCTACATCTTTGATTCTAACAGTTTGCACAGAAAAAAAAACGCATTATTTTCTAGAGAATTGCTTGTGACTCCAAATGTAGTAAAATGATCGAAAGATTGACTAGAGCATTTTGACCTCTATTGTAAAATTATTGCTGTTCAGGACATTTATAACTTCACGGGCAGCTGCTCAAGCTAAACGTTTGAGATAAATATGATCGTTCCATCAAATGGTTATCTATGTTTTAAAAACTTGTCTGGTGTCAAGTTAAAGGTGGAAACGGTAGTTATGTTCATACATCTTAACAGGAACCTGGTAATAATGCAGTTATGGTTTTCTTAGATTCATTGATTTACCTTTGAGTAATGGGTATGAGCCATAGAAAAACTGAAGGTTTGCCAGAAAATATTTTACGATTCAAACTTTGAATTATTTTTACCTCAACTGAGTCTGAAGCAAAATATAAAGAAAGAAAAAGACTGGGCACAAATGTAACACACAGTGAAACAGTTTTTATTCACAAACGTAATCAGAATTTTAAATACAAGTATATTGTGGTAATTTTAACAGAATTTGCTGGAACTTAATTTGAATAAATAGCTATTTTCATCAGAGCGACGTTTCTCTCATTCATCTTCATCTTATTCCAGACTGAGAAAACAATGTATTATATATGAAGCACGACAATGCCAGTCTTCTCAGGACGCAGGCGCTTGTCACGTGACTTACAATCATTCTCACTGCGAAACAAGGGATGTTATATCACCTTACTTACCAGTAGTAAAGATTAACATTGATTCTATACAGTATGCACTATGTTACAACAACCTTTCCTAAAAGAGAGCAAAAACGATGCCCTAGTTGTCTGATCCAATTTCTTGAGTAACTAGGACGCGAGGAACTTAATGAATCTCTTGACTGATATCCTATATTAATATTGCATGTTCAATATCCACAAACATTTTGAAAAAAGGAAGTATACTCAGTTACTTGCTTTGCAGGGATTCTACTGCAGGCACTTTACCGTTATTAAAGTAAAACTTAATGTGATGACTACATTACTGCTCCAAACTAAACAAAAAATATCAATATTTGCCGCAAACAACATAAATATCAATTAACGCTCACCATCAATTTATCATGGGTGCGACCTAGAAAATAATTTTACCTGGGCTGTTGATGGTGATTTCAAGATGTATATGGAATGATTTAATAATGGACCTTTCAAAGGTACATATGGCAAACTCAAAAGCTAGATCATGAGTGTGTACCAAAGCCATGGACAGACTGACTGCCACTTATTTCCCAAATAAGGACAACTATAAAAGCTTAATATTCACAATAATATTGAAATTAAATTGCTATCTGAGTTTCTAGAAAGCATTTCATTAAATTCATCATATCGAACAGTAACCTACTTTGTAGCTGAAGAAGCTATTATTGAAGAGGCAGATTCAGAGTACCTAGCCCTATATCCAGAATAGACTTAGGAGGTAGGTAAATAAGATTATTACTTCAAGTGGCTACACAGACGCTCCCAAGAGACTAAGCAGTAAGTCTACAGGTTACAACTCTAAGAATCGGGTTTCGATACCCGTAGTGGGCGGAGCACAGATAGCCCATAGGGTATCTTTGTGCTTAAAAACAGCGAAACAACCAAACAAACAAACACAGATATATTAATTGGGTCTAAAAGAGTGCTCTCTGTGTGAAAACTTCCTCATCAAAGATTTCATGAAGTCAAGGGGAAAAAAATTTAATCGATTAGAGTTGTCGAGAACTAGATAAAATTCTTGGTTTTATAGTCACTAGCTGGGCCGTAAAGCACTTAACAGAAAAAGTCAAAGTGGCCAAACTTATGTCAATAGACTTTCTAAACACACAAAAAGTGAAGATTGAAAAGAAGTGTAAATTTTGAATCCCTTTCTGAATCTTAGTGGATACGGTTAGGACTCGTTACTACAGATGGGTGAGAAATGAAGTTGAAATTAATACTATAACGACAGCAAAGATTGTTTATATTCAAAATGCTAGCTTCTCTGCACTTATATTAATGGCATTTCCACACGATCTGACACTCAAAACAACCAGAATAGTTGATATCCTAAACATTCATTGATGTCAGCGGCTCCTTACTGGAACCACACTAAAAAAATAGGTATGAAATTTCCAGAAGCTTTATCACACTTGGAGAGTGATGTATGTGCCAGAATCCATGTGCTAAAAGTCAGATTTACAAATCATTTAGAGCCAATATGAACTCATATTGTATATTTAGACTCCAGAGAGATTTAAAAGTATCCAGGTCTGTTAATTGACATTTTCAGATAGCGATCTAAGCCACGTCCACATGGCAATCTTTATCTACACGGATTAGTCTATCAGTACGAGGAATCATAATAACTTTAAAATTGATTATTACACATTGATTATATTGTTTATAGATTGTCTGATGTTAAAAGAAACTTGAATTTTAATATATTTCCAAAACACCTGATAATAAAACCAACTTAATGTTTTGTATTTTGAAGCTAACTTGGCTAATTTAAAGGTCGCCATGTTTTCAGTACCATGTAAGATATAAGTACAAATTTAATTTTCTAATCACAGTGTTTTGGCCCCGAGGTATTCCTGGCTTTAGTTGTATTGAGGGAATGGTCGCACTGAATTTTGTTTTTCTCAAGCTATAAACCATTTAGTTTATGTTAAAAACCTTTTAATTAGTTCTAACGTTAGAGGTCGCCGTGTTCTTGATAAGGTGTATAATTTGTTTTTAAACTACATCAGCTTTGATCACATTTCTTATCCCTACGTAAAGCAGATAACGTCTTTAGGATCTCACTGTGTAAACTTATAAGTCATAAAACGTAATACAAGTGAGACTAAAACGACTTTATAAACTTTATAAATTAGGTTACTATAGGATTAATGTATTGTAACTTGCCATGTGCGTGATGTCTACTTGTACCTACATTCCAAATTTATTTTACAGAAAAAAAAACAAGTTCTTGTACTAATAAACCTGAGTTCATAAAAACTTATTTTGGTTTCCATTTTCAGAAACATGTTTCCTCCCAACATCATTCAAGCGTGTCTACAACAGGTTAGTTTCTATTTTAATACGTCATGAGAAATGCAAAAGGAAAACTTCTGCATTGGAGCCTGTCAAACTTCTATGATAAACAGTTTTCTTCGTCTTAAAGCAATAGGGTGATACATCTTTAATGTGGCTCATGATGAATAACGTCAAATTTCATCTCCTACACGTCTTACCGTGCTTACTTGAGTCCAGCTGAATAGCTGAAAACATTTTTACAGTTAATGTCATGTACAGCATCGGTCATATGAGAGGTAAAAGTATTGGTAAGGAACACAAGAACGTTTATGCCGAAAAAAATATTTTTTTACATGCTAAATGATTGTTTAGTTATATCTATTTTTTATTTCAATTTTTTAAACATACATATATAATTTTATATAGATATACAAGTTTATATAGACGTTATAGACGTTATGTTATAGATTACAATTTTATACAGATATTATAGACATATAATTTTATGTAGATATACAATTTTATATAGATGTTATAGATTACAATTATATAGATATATAGTTTTTAAAAGGTTCTTTAATTTCCCATTTTTTAACACATTTGGTCTAAAGTCTCCAGGATAGACGAAATGATTAACAACATTCTCGAAGAGAAAAGTAATTTTACAGAGAAAGAGAATATTTTCATGGAAGCACATTCTATTATTGAATTATTTTCTAAGAAAAGCATTATCTAATTTGGTTTATTTGACATCACAATAGCATTAAGTTCTAGATATTTAATAGACACGATAAATCAAAATATGAGAAGGGTATAATATACAACAATGAAAATTCAAACCAGAGGGGAAGGATTAAGAAAGCATTTACATAGAAGCGTTTCCTTTAGAAATAGGAGCTTAAAGTTTCTCCAGAATAACGCTTTTGACAGTTTGTTATATGTACAAAGAGAAAAAGGCTTTGCTAACTAGATCTCGTTAAAAAGCTACGTTATCAATTTTATTATACAAATTTCCATTAAGCCTAAATGAAACAATTTTATGACAAAATAATATATTTTAAAAGTACTCTGTTTCATTTCAGATTTTATAGATACTGAATATATATTAAAATGTAATTTGAAGCGATGTTGTATACAGTTTCAAACTTGCATATAATATCGATTGAATAAACTTTCGACTTTTACTTAATGAACAAAATTCAAAAGTATTCATTAACAGTATACTGGTTAGTAAACAGTTATCACGAAAGCAACCAATGGTTAAGCGTCCTGGAGTAAAAAATAATGGACCAAACCGAAACATCTCATTCGTGGATGGCCGTAGGAACCGGTAAGGCCAGTCTGGCCGTGGCCTAAACACTTTTCCATGATATGTATAGCTACAAGTTATGTATTAAAACTTGCTTCTTTTAATTCAATAAATTACATTGTTTGTAATTAGCATTTGTAGTTCAAATGGCTCAAGATTCAATCTCATAGCATTAAATTTTCAAAACTTTTCTGGGGCCTAGACCCCCTCCCCTAGAAATAGCAATGCGGCAATATCCTGACCACTACAAAAATGCTGCCTACGGCAATATCATGTGTTTTAGGTAAACTTCATTCTTTGAAGACGCCTGTCGCTGGAGACTTTTCAGCTATAACAGATACGTTTACAATTTACTTTCCTTGAGTGAAGTTAGTTCTGAATTCGAGTGTATTAGCATAAAGTAGAATATCATTAATATAATTATATATTATAATATAATCATATAGTATATAAGCAATATAATCATAAAGAAGCACACCTTCTCAAGAAGATAAATTAACAGATCGTCGAAAACTTTTTTATATTTGTTTTTAGAGGATGACGTTTCGAGCGGATCAAACATATCATTAAATATAGTAGTACTTAAGAGTAGGAATCGTGATGAAACAAAATGGCAGCCATAAAAATCGTCAATTTAAAACCGCTTTTAAAATATCTGAATATTAACAATGATTATTTCACAGTATTGGCTGAGAAAAACTAAAGCTTATTGTACTTATAAAGTCGTCTAAATCACTATATACGTGTTTATGAACTGAACCGAAATTTCGCTATTTATACGAATTTTCATTTAAGTAAGTAAGTGACTTTTCCAGACAAGCGTACAGAAAAAAATGACGAACCTTATCGCTTTAATTCTTTCACAGAGCTCTTTCAACTGGGATCCCAATGATTCATTTCTTGTACCGAAAAGGATGCCATATATATAACGGGCAATGCACTACTTTAGACATATAATTAGATTTAAGGGTAGGTTGATAGAGATCCTGACGAGTAATAAAATCGAATTGGATATATGCGCTCCCCACACTTAGTTTCTTTGTTTATTTGAAGTTAAGCACAAAGCTACACAACGGGCTCTGCCCACCACGGGTATCGAAACTAGGTTTCTAGCGATGTAAGTCCGTAGACGTACCGCTGTTCCACTGGGGGGACTCCCACGCTTCGTATTAGTGGCGCAAAAAAACATAGCTAATAAAAAGGAAACAAACAAATATAATAAAAAAAAATTTAATTTTATAAAGACAACTAGGGATCGATATATACGTAACCCAGCTAGCTAATAGTAATACCGAAAATTTCAACGCTACAAAAAAGTATTGAAACAAGAAAGACAAAACTACAAAACTGAGTTACTTAAAATTAATATATATATATATATCTACTTTGGTAAATCATTGTAATTATGTTAGTCTCAGCCAAAGTACGGATTTTTTTTATTTTAAGTCACTCAATTTTTGTTGTTTTGACTTTCTTGTTTCAGTACTTTTTGTAGCATTGAAACTAGCTGGGTTACGTATATATCGATCCCTACTTGTCTTTATAAAATGTTTAGAAAGTTTTATTATACTTGCACTAAATAACACCATTCTAACTGAAGATGCCCCCAGTGGCACAGCGGCATGTCTGCGGACTTACAACGCTAGAATCCGGGTTTCGATAACCGTGGTGGGCAGAGCACAGATAGCCCATTGTGTAGCTTTGTGCTTAATTACAAACAAACAAACTTACTGAAGACCCAATCACTAAATATATTTTCAAGAACCCACCTATTACTGCTTACAGACATGACACAAACCGAAAAGAAACCTTGGTAATCTTAAAACAGAAACAACATAA